TCAGGAAGTCAGTCTTTAAGGCAGCACAAACACTTATTAATGATAATAAAAAAAAAATCTATTTAGCAGCAGCTGTTAAAATGTATGTACTTGTGAACTATTGATCTGCCCCCGAGGATCTGGGTTTGATGTCTAATGACCATACCTCCTGAGCACATACAGTGTTAGTCTCTAGGTGTGAGTAGCATTAGTACTTAGCTTTGACCAAGTTCTAAAACATAAATTAAAAATACTACGAAATAAAGACTTTTAGTGGTGCCTATTAGAGAGCGAATTTCTATGAATAAATTAAAATAGTTTTGCTAAGGCTGCACATGCACGGTTTAATAAAAATACAAAAACAATTATTCCTCATGATACAAATAGAACAAAAGGTCTAAGGTGCCCTTACTCAAATACCAATAAAATGTCCTAGGAGTATGTTTCATCATGCCATGAGTTAACCACTCAATAACATTGTGCTGTAAGGTTCCTTTTCAAGTCTTATACGGACGTTTAGGTCTGGTTTTTAAATGGCGAGCTGCTTTTTATTCCATTCCTTGTCTATACTTGCTCATTATATCCATGTGATAGATGTTCGTAGTTTGAAGAGGGGTGAATGGCTAACTCTGGTAGGCATTCCCAGAATTACCTATTAGCAGAGGGAATAAATAAGAGTGATACGTCCACCTCGACAGACACACACACATACAGATGGACAGATACATACAAAGACACATACATAAAGACAGACAGACAGGCACACATACATACAGACAAGACACACATACATACAAACAGAGAAATACAGACAGACACACATACATACAAAGACACATACATAAAAACACTCTGACTCCCTCTGCTTCCTCCCGCGTGGCTCTCTGACGTGCAGTCACTTCCTCCCAGCTTGTGATGTCATCACAGGGGGCCCGGTCGCCCTGTTAAAGCACCCAGCGCTGAGCGGGCCCCCTGACAATCCATATCCATCGGGTGGCCCTGACAGCATGGGCCACCCAATGGACCCTTTGGACGGCAGCCCCAGCGGTTTGCCGCGTGGGCCGGGGCTGCAAATGGTGATGGCGGTCACCCGGTCGCAGGGGTCCGCAGGGTGGCCGGGCCTCCTGGAGTGGTGGGCCTGGTCGCAGCTGCAACCCCTGCGACCGCGGTATGTACACCACTGATCTGGAGTGTACTTGCTTAAAACACTGCACATTCTAAGTTATTGGCACTTATGTCCTGGGGGCAAGTTGTATCCTGGCGTCAACACATGTGACATTGGCAGCCCAGAACTCTGTTCCAGGCTGCTAATGGCAATTCTGTGCATAAATGACATCTGTTGTCATCGCGCACTGTACGCTGCCGGCAGACATACTTATCTTCCCATTGCAGACAGAGCCCCCATTGCAGACAGAATCTAGCGCTGCCCTCCCAACCCCCTTCCCTGTGGGCCCTCCTATTCGCCTCCCTTCATGTAACATTTGTTAAGTGTTTTTTTACATTTTTTTCTTCCCCTCTCCACTCGTTGACCCGAGAGTGCATGCATGTGCTCTGAGCCGGTAACAGCTTCTCTGTGAGAGGCCTGTGATTGGACAGCGTGCGGCCCATGTGACTTTGAAGAGAATGTGGAAGATCAGAGGCAAGAGGTTTGCACAGAGCTAAATTCAGGTGAGTAATGCTTATTTTACAGCTTTTTCTGAAACGGAGGAGGGGGACCTTCTACACAGTGTCCAATAAGGTATATTACACTCTGGAAAGGTTCCCCTTTAATTTGGGAGATTGTATCGACTTTTTCTTTCATCATATCATCATTAATGTTTACCTTGTTCCTGTCAAGAAGATTTTTAATCTATGAACTAAGCTAGCACTACACTAAGGATCTATGACTGGACAGGGGTTCACGTAGCTATTAACCTGTGCACTGAGCAGAAATATTACGATGGAAGGCAGTTGCTAAGGGAACCTGTGGAAAAGTGTCACAGCTGTTTGTGCTCATTTGCAAATTTTGCATACTTGTTCGGAGAGTGTTGTGAAAACAAGCAGAATGGCTGTGTACGCGGCAGCTGCTGTATTTGCCTTATGATATCAACCATTGCATCACTAGGTCCAAATAGATTAAAAAATATTAAAATGTGAATTTATTTGGTGAAGGCCAGGTACATATTGAGCTGAGAAATATGACATTTTACTGGTACAAGGTACAGGCAGTTTTTTTTTTTTTTTAAATATAATTATATATAATATTAGAATTTATTATACAGACAATAAAAGGACAGTGATTGGCTGTGGGGCAACCATGTCAGCAACTCACTGATCTTACATTTACTGAACTTAGTACATACTTAGAGTTGGTCTAATAACAAAGTCACTGTGAATTGGGGCGCGTTGCAAAATTACTTATTTGGCAAAACAAAAGAGATGTGGAGAATGTGGAGAAAAATCATAGTGTGACTGAGTGCAAATCAAATGCACTTAAGTTCTGTTGGCATCAGGAGTGAGCCTGGAATCTCCTGTTAAAGTGTTACTCTAAGCACCGTAACCATTTCACTGATTTGAAGTGATGATGGTGCCTGGAGTCTGTATGTGCAGTGTTTTGCTATAAATCGCTACACATAAAGAGTCTAACCCCTTTGTTGACGGAGGTATAACTCTATCTCTAGCTAAATCATTGCGGTGTGTCATTAGCAGTACTGGGCTGGCTAATGTCAATTCAGTGCATATTTTATGTCTGTCATCAGCACGCACAGCATCATGTCAGCACACAGTTAATGGCGTTAAATCCCCCCACCTCCCCTCTCCTTGCCACTCATGTCCTCACTTCAGCCTATCTTCCAGGACATCCCTGTAGAGTGACATTAGCAGAGAAGGATTTTTTTTTTTCTTAAAACACTGTTTTTTGGATGAAATCATCATATTCTTTTGATGCAATTCCTGCAAGGTAATATATATTTATTTAATCTTTTTTAATTTTTTTTAAGGTTATACTGTGTAACGGCACCCCCAGGCATAAAAGGGGTTAAACACCGTTTAGGAGATATTCCCCTTCCAGAGACACAGGCAGCTACTGCAGAACACCAAACTCCCGAACTGGATACAAGGGAATGCTCCAAACTCCTGAACTGGAACCTCACGAATAGCTGCTAGCAGACGAACAGGAAAAGCACCCAAGCGGCTTACACTCCTAGCAATCAGTCTCTAACAGCATACAGTAAATCCCCCCAAGAACGAGACAGAGCTCTGTGTTGACGGTCAAGCAGTGATCTGGTTTATTGAGGGCTACCTGCCCGGTATTTATGTAGGTCTCCCACCTGGTGGACACTCCCCTAGGGGACCAGATGGAAGACTGTGACAAACGACAGATACGAACCAATGACAGACACACAGAGGTAAAACATCCCCACAATGCATCCTAATTCCCTCCCCTCTATCCTGGAGATAATTGGGAAGTAATCCAATTATCTCCCAGGACAAAGGTAAAACGCCATTATACACGTGGGGATACAAAGACAGTAAAATACTTTAAAATATACAAAGTTACATTTAATACATGAAATCCCCAGATAGCTTAGATCTGAGCTCACATAACTACTGAATAGCGCTCAGATCACACACATACAGTTCAATTGCCATGGAGCCAAAGTCTTTAATTACACGAATAGGCTCCATGGCATAGCTATTTAGGTTAAAACATTCACAGGGTAAAAGTCCCGATAAATCCAGCATTCGGCTAAACAGCCACGGATAGAAGCAGGGAAGGCTGGAGGCTCAGCGGTGCCTGCGCGTAAAAGTGTCCGCTTTTAGTGCACTGATTCCGGGGAGCTCCATAACACCGCCACCTTGTGGCGGCTATGTGTAACCGTGACCACCCAGTAACAGTCAATTAAGCTGCGGTTAACCGCAGCTACTGGGTGGTCAATTGACGGCACACTCCAGCTTCAGGGAGGTGAATTGAAGGCACACGCCAGATTCCCGGTGGTCGTGCCTTCTGTATTTTGTTCGGTAGATAAAATCTACCGAACACCCTGGCAGAAAGGCATGAATAAGCCTCTCTACAGGGAGAATAAAGTCTTTTAAAAGTTCGGGCCGTAGTCGCCGTAGTCTAAAGGAAGCAGGTGGGCAACCAGGCTCCTCCAATGCACAGTGGCGAGATTGGTCTCGTCACAGCCTTTATTTGAAAAATGGGTTTTGAGTTCAGATTTGAACTGAAGAATAATTTTCTAATATAATGATAATTTATTGATTTGGATATCTGCCAGAAAAGGTTAAAAACATCTGGTTTTCTGATAACATTATGTTACTTGCAACTGTCCTTCTAACAAGTCAGCAGACCATTTTTTTCACAGCACACAATGTTAACACAGCAACTATAGATTCTAGGTGTCTTCGCAACGTTTCCCTTTAAATTCTCTAACCATTTTCTACCATTCTCAGCTTACATTTTTCAAGGCAAATTCTCAAACAGAAAGAGGTAAAAGAGGGCAGAGCCAACTGCCGAATGAAGCAGACGCACAAGCCACGAGCTCCTGAGAGAGCCCTAAGAAAAAGGAATAAAAGTGCAAAATAACAAGGAAAAACAAGGATCCAATCACAGACAGTTACACAATAGACAAACAAACAAACAAACAAACAAAAAAGTAGAAATTATCCCTTCCATTCCTACACAAGGCATCAGTATAGGGAGACATCAGTGGACTCAGCAACTCCTCACTACTAGGTAAACTGACCATACTAGCTAGAATGCAGACTTGGTCTTCAAAAAGGGTTCTCTCTCAAGTGCCCCACGTGGGGTACATCATTTGTAGAACATCGTTCGCTGATTATATTTCAACCTTGTGATGCTATACTGTACTTAAACATTGATGATTGAATGCACTATTAAAACTGCTGTACCCCCACCCCTATCTTTTTTTCTGTACCCCTCTGATCTTTTCTTTTTTACAAATACAATAAATTACAAAAAGATTTTTTTTTAAAAGGGCAAAATACCCGGACGGTACTTGCCCCGACATTGCCCAGACGTAATGGGAAAGAAAGGGAAGTCCCGCAGAAGCGAAACTGGCTCCTCTTGCAACGATATCAGCACTGTGCTCCGAGTCACTCTACAGCTGCGACCTTGCAAAATGGAGCCCACATGGGAGGACTCTGATACTGCGTTGGAAGAGAGCGACCAGGATGACTCTCTGATCCCCAACAGACACAGTATAAGGGTAAGCCCTGATCTCCAGGTGAAACACCTGCCTATATCCAAACAGGCAAACCCCAGTATCTCCCTGGAACAACAGCCTGTGAGCAAAGCAGACATCCAGAACCAGAAATGAAGGCCCAATTCACTGTTGACATAAATCTGGTCAGAGAAGCTTTAGGAGCTCTAACAGCCAGGTTGCAGACCCTTGAGGATGATGGAGATGTGGCTAAAGGCAAGTTTGACTACCTGCAGACGGAGGTAGATCAGCTTAAGATTGCAAACCTCATCATGGAGGGCAAGATGACTGCCCTGGAAGATGCCAAATGCTAGCGGAATCTCTAGGTCCAGGGGCTCTCTGAGGACATAACAGATACAGAAGTTCCCCAGGTGTATGCTGAGCTCCCTGCTATCACCCGCTCAAGCCAAAGCTGCCATACTGGAATACCACTTTCGGATTCCGAAATCGACCAGTGCCCCTACAGGTGTCCCCAGGGATTTATTGTTATGCTTTCAATCGCTCAAAAGTAAGCAACTCATACAAGTGGCTACTCGTGAATTGCCTACCTACCACTTTGAGGGATGTGACTTCACATTCTTTAATGACCTCACTAGAGTCACCATGCTGTGGCGCCACTCCCTACGTCCTGTAACCCAGATGCTAAGAGACCACAAAGTGATATAACGCTGAGGCCCTGGCCGAAAGTTATCAGTGCTCCATGATAGGAAATGGATTCAGCTTACACAACTGTCGGAAGCAGAGAAGTTCCTTAAGGCGCTTGAACTACCGGGACCAGTGCACATACTGCGGCCTGCCCAGCGTATTCAGCCCGGTTCCTTGGCTCAAACATGGGACATTGGTAACATACAGCAAATCTTTCTGCAACCCAGGAAAATGGCAGTGGCGCTGAAGTCGACGGGCACCTAAGCCCAAACAGGCATGATGAAGAGCGGCCTGCACCTACACCACTAAAAGTTTTTGTTTAGTTAATTAATATTATTTGTTAATCTTAAGTGCATGCAGTAGTTTTCTCACACATACACATACCCTTAGTCTTTGGGAATGACCATAACGTACGTCATCTACACAGCTTACCTCTACACCACAAAATTTAATGAGAGGGCTCTCTCATGACACTCTTACCCCCATGCTAGCAGCTGAATGTGTTAAGAATTGTAACCTGTTAACCCTTCTAAAAATTGTGCATAATTTAGCTGACACCATTCCCACTGACAGCCAAATGATATTGTCGTAATTCCTGATATGAATGAGAAGTCGCTGTCTACCATTATGGAATGGGGGTCAGGGGTGGGAGGACAGTAGCCCCCCCCCTTATTGTTTTATTAGGGCCTCTTTTATCATATCAAACTGCATGACTAGGCTGGCACAGTGAGTACCACACAGGCCATTTTAATTATGGCATGTAAAAGGGTTCGAGAAAAAAAACTTCACTTTAAGGGCTTCGTTAGACATAAACTACACATCAAAGTGAAGTCCGGAGGCCTGGTTTCCCACAGATTTCCTCAACCTACTTTACTTATGCTGTATGTGCAGTGAAGGATTTTCCATTCTCTTTTCACTCAAGATAGCTGATATTTTGTAGGCTCCAGTAAATATAATGAATCCGAAAATGAAGACGTTATGACACAGATGGTCTCAACCTGGAAATGTCTGGACTGTATTTCTATAATCATGTAACATCTGTATATGATTAGTAATTAATGTCATCTATAAAAATCCAGGAAAAGAGACGGCAGTTGGTGCTCTCGCTGGCATTCCAGTACTTTTAATGTGGTAAGTCAACATTCCATATTTTATTTTCTTCCTTTTGTAAGTTTTTTACATCCTGACGTACCCCGACATTTAGATACTTTTTATAGGACTACTTTACCTTGAGGCAGTTATTTCCTTCTTTTTTTTTACATTCTATTTTCCCTGTGATGGCGTTTCTAACATTTATGATAGCTACTGGTCACCGCAAAGCTTCCATGCCTTGATAAAGTCCATTGCCCTCTTGGAAAACCCATTTTATTCCGTAGCCGAAAACAACGTTTTTTTTGTGTGTTATTGTTTCTGTATTGTTATTACATTACTGAGTAGGATTTGCGTTTTGTGCCAGAATTATTCTGTAACCTAACGGTATAATTAGTGGGCCTCTTACTGTCAACAATTTTAATGTCTTGAAAAAACTTTAGAATGGGTCAGGCAGTTATTTTTTGGGGGGGGAAACTACTGCGAGACTTGTAATTATTGTGAAAAAGCAATTATCACTTCTAAAAAGAGACATAATGCCTGGCTATAAACTATGACATTTATGAATACAATTTAGACACTTGGGCAAGATATTATTAGCTAAATAACAAGCCGCTCATCCATCCCTACCATTGAGCTTCACTTTCTACCATGTGTTGTCATCACAAGCAAATCTTCTCCCCCAGGTGATCCTTTCGTGTCTATCGCAACCACCTCCTCATAGATTGTATATTGATCATTTAACAATGTAACCCTGTTATCTTGTACAGTGCTGCAAAATCTGCTGGACCTCTTTAAAAAAAAAATCATAATAATTGATTAACCAGATTAACAGGAGATGTTTCAGTTCTCCACCTATTCCAAACATTTTATATAGTATACTTTATCCATTTCCAGAAGAAGACTCATGAAAAAGGGAATTTGTACCAAACTTAAATCTTACATACTTCTAAGGATATATTCACTTCCCACTCCCTACATATATCAGCAGAAGTGTGCCGTCATACCTCAGTCAAACCCAAAACACGTGGATCACATTAAAGGGACACTATCAGCACCTAGACCCCTTGAATGAGATGCAGTGCCCCTCTTAGTCCTGCAATGTAAATCATTGCTGTTTTTGAGAATTGATAAATAATTATACTGCGGGACTAAGACTACCTATAGTGGCTGTCAATCAGACAGCCACTAGAGGCACTTCCTGGTGACTAGATGACTTTTGGTCGCCTAACTGACGCTGGACGTCCTCACACTCTGCATGAGAACATCCAGCGTCAGTTAAATCCACACATTAAAGCAATGAAGCAATGCTTTCCTGTGGGGCGGGCTTAATGCACTTGCAGGGCTTGAGGTGCATGGCATTAGCCCCCTCGTCAGATTACATTGGAGGAGGTGGAGCGCCAACTCAGCTCCAAGGGAGGTTGGCGTTTTTTAACCCTTTGCAGTACTGGTGAAAAGAGTGTAAAGGGGGGGAGGGAGTATAGTGTAAGGAATATAGCTATGTATTTCTTACTCTATAAAATCCCTTTATATATATTTCAAGTGTGTCAAACTATGTAAAAGCTTTGATACAAACCAAGAAACATTATTAGTAACAGTTAATGGACCACTATAGTGCCAGGAAAACAAACTCATTTTCCTGGCACTATGGGATCTTTAGGTCCCCCCCACCCTCAGGGTCCCACACCCGCTGGGCTGAAGGGGTTAAAACCCCTTCAGCCACTTACCTTTCTCCAGCGCTGGGCTCAAGCGCCGGGCTGGGGAACTCTCCACCTCCTTCCGACATCAGATCCGAAAGCGCATGTGCGGCAAGAGCTGCGCACGCATTCAAACCGCATTACTCAAAGCTTTCCTATGGACGTCCAGCGTCTTCTCACTGTGATTTTCACAGTGAGAATCGCGGAAGCGCCTCTAGCGGCTGTCAGTGAGACAGCCACTAGAGGCTGGATTAACACTCAGTAAAACATAGCAGTTTCTCTGAAACTGCTATGTTTTCAGCTGCAGGGTTAAAACTAGAGGGACCTGGCACCCAGACCACTTCAGTGAGCTGGAGTGGTCTGGGTGCCTATAGTGGTCCTTTAACTGATCCGAAGAGATCTTTGTTTGTCATTTTGGAGACTAAACTTGAAAAAGAAAGGAAGACTATCAGGGTTAATAACTAAAGTGAGAATTCAAAGTGAATTTCAATTTAAGGTCAGATAGCAAAAAGGAAAGAATATCTGACTTTGAGAATTTCTCCAGTTCAGCTATGTCAAGCTTGAATTCTTCCTTCAGTAAATAGCCCTGTATAGCATTAGGAATACAAACATATATTCATAACGCTATAGTGTCCAGCTAACTATTTAGGTGTCCTTCGTTTCCAATAAAAAAAGGTGATTTATTCACCTTGTAGCCATTGCCAAATTCCATACTGCTGATCTTGCCTCCTTGCCGGACATCATCAAGATTGCTAATTTCATAAATGTCTTTCTGTGTACCAATGTAGTGTTCCTTTAACTGTTATTAAAATTTATTATTTAATCTCTTAAAAGAAGGTCATTTGTTTGTTGTTGTGCCCATAACATTACAAAATGCAAAGCAAAGTGGACCTGCAAATAGTGATATTTGAATGTGTTCTATAATGTTACTATATGCAAATCACGCGTCAGTTGTTATACGGAGACACTGTGTTTATGAGTACAAATGTCATACATTAAGCTGGACCTGAACCTCCCGTATGTGATAGTTAAAAATGATAAATAACAATATTAGTCATTGTTGTTACAAAACAATATCCAGTCATTATTGACATATAACATGATGTTAATGCAAGTTCAGATCAAGAACATTCTCCTAAAAATAGTTTTTGCAGATACTAGCAATGTGTCTAATGTAAACACGGCAAGTTATACACAGTGCACAAGGAATGAAAAACTCACTTATTTACTAAAGTGAGGATTCAAAATGATTTTTAAATTTAAGGCCAGAGTAGCTGGCCTGAATGCATTGCTTATTGAGAGAATTTTTAAAGTTTGCCTACTTTGACCTTAAGTTTGAAATTAACTTTGAATACTCCCTTTAGTAAATTGACCGGAATGTGTCCAATTTAAATATGAAAAATATTCATGTATGGTTTGCTGCGTCTATTTGTGACACCACGCCTTCCAGCCATTTAAGTAGTGCATTTGAAATCGTATTCCATTTCTTTATTGCAATAATCCAAGCATCTTGAAAAGGTATCCCGTAAGTTATTTTTCTTAACACTTTCACTACTTTGTTTTTGGATTTTGTGTTTTGTTTTTCCAATAAAAGAAACATTACATCAATTTGAAATATGGGGTAAATAGACACGAGCTCAGAATTAAATTAGGACATTCCTATGGAGTTGTCTTAAAGGACCACTATGGTGCCAGGAAAACAAACTCAGTTTCCTGGCACTATATAGTCCTTATGTCACCCCACCCTCAGGGCCCTCCTCCCGCTGGGTTGAAGGGGTTAGAACCCCTTCAACCACTTACCATAATTAAGCTCTGGGCTCCCTCGGCGATGGTGACCTCTCTGACGTCAGCTTCCGAGTGGGCGTATTGAAACTGCCCATAGG